TATAAATCGCAAATTATAAGTCATGTAAATGCATATTAAATAATGTAGCGGTAATAGTACAGGTTGCTTTTATAATGTGCAAATTATAAGTCATGTAAATTGTATGTAGCGATAATAGTTTTTGTAATGTCGCAAATTATAAGTCATGTAAATTGTAATTAAGTAATGTAGAGATAATGGAACAGTTGATAAATTTCATGTTATACTAAATTCTTTTATGTATTTTTTAAAAACTCAATGAACATTCGAACATCAGTCAAAATTTTTTATTGATGCTCGAAAATCTAGAGTTTGTGACCAATCAATGTTCGAAACTCATCGATTCCAATCTCTACCCCAAATGCTCTTCCATCTTACATTTCATATAGTATATGGAAATTTCATGATTATTGCATTTGGTAAAGATTCAATTGCTAAAATTTATTTAATCGTATTTATAAAAAAAAAAAACTCATTTAATATTATAATATCAATGCATTCAGGTCGAATTACAACGTTTGCGGGTGAAGTGCTAAATGGAACATTTATATTTTATATATAAAAAATTATAATTGAGCTACCCCACTATTAATAAGTCAAACTACATCAACAACAAATACTCCAACAGGTTCCTCGGACACATAATTCATTGTATATTGGAATTGATAGTGGGATTGATGCAGTAGCTCTTATTGCAATTATTACAATTGTTGGATTTAGGTTTTATAAAAGGCGTTGTAACGCTTGAAATGTCATTCCAACACTTGGAAGTACCGTAATTTATGGTTAAATATAATATAATATAATATGATATAATTTTATATATTCCAAATCTTGTGCAGTACAGATGGTTAATTAAGATGTTTTTTAGTATAGGTGCTTTGTAGTGAAAATAATATAATAACAAAATATTAGAATAGTGAAGTAACAAATTTTCTGTTTGCATATTTTATTCAAAAATATAATATCAAATTAATTTTGAAAATCCATTACTTTTATTTAACATATTAAAAGTTATAGAATTACATATTTACAAACAATAAATAAATGATGGATGCTTATCTCCCAAAAGTAGGGCCTCCTCCCCGTTTTTTCCGTTTAAAAATCGGTCTGGATCCCTAATTTTTAGTTTATTGATTCTATTTAATAAATAGTATAAAATTATTGATAAGAACTATAGCAATAAATAAAAGAAATATAGAAATAGTATTTCCAAATTTATAGTCCGGCGCATCCTGAGATCTATATAAATGTACGGATATCATTCCACCAACGTTGCCACTAGCTACTAGCAATGCGCAACCTACTGCACGTTTCAAGTCTCCTGCTAAATTGTTTGTTAGCCTTTTGAAATTTAGAGAATGAGAATATGGATAAATAAATTGAAAAAATATTTATATATAGAAATATTAAAATCTTACCACGTTGTTGCTAAAGGAACAGATGAAAATACTCCCATTCCAATAATACAAGTTCCAGTGTATCTTACTAAAATACAAAATATTAGTATTAACCTCTAATACATTTAAGTCAAAATATATAATTTAAAAAATTGCAGATAAGCTTACAAATAACGCCAGAATTCACTGCATAAAGTAATATATATCCTGTAATTGATATCAATGAACTAAATATCAAATATAAACCACGGTTTTGTATCGATCAAAAATATCGCAACTGTAATCATTGAAATACATCCCAAGATACATGGTGGAACGGAAAGGAGCTGAGAAGCAACTAATAAAATAGTATATAAAATAAAAGTAAAGTGAAATTATTGTTGTATATGTATAAGTGAGTACGAAATTTAGAATTTTTTGATTGTTAGCCTGTACCCTAACTTTAAAATTTTTTGACAATCCTAATCTTGAATATATACAATAATCAATGAAGTCAAACATACCGGAATCAAATCCCAAACCATTTACGATCGATGGAAGAAAGAAAAAGAACGAATATTCAGGAACTGATATACTAAAATATATAATTGAGAACATATAGACTTTCTGGCAAGCAACATAATAAAACAAATTAATAGTATTAATTGATTTTAATCTATTTATAGATAATATCTGTGAACTTACCCAATCTTTAAAAGCCTCGACAATCTGATATTTATCTTGATTAGTTATAGAAATTTGTCCTGAATCAATCTGTATACGATTAATGATCGTCTTGCGTTCATCATTTGCAAGCCAACTAGTAGTTTCCGGATAATCGGCGATCAAAAAATAGGAGAAAAATGCAATCAAAACTGTTATCAAACCATCAATGAGAAAGATCTAAATTTCAACAAAAAATAAAATGAAATAAAAATAATCTATAATTGTAACGAACAAATAAGAATTTATGAGTACCCATTGCCAACCACTCAGACCAAAGTTACCATCCAAACCCATCACATAGAATGCCATAAATCCGCTAAATGCACCAGCAATCACGCTCCCAGTGGAAAATATGCCAGTCCGATAACTTTGCTCGGATCTTTTATACCATTTTGTAATATGAAATATGATACCAGGAAAAAG